CACCGAGGATGGCCAGAGCCTGGTCTTTGCTGACCTGACACCCGAGGAGATGGCGCAAGTGGTGCGGTACCTGCAGGGGAACCTCGGGGTGCCGCTGGTCGATGCCTCGCGCGCCAAACCCTCGGACAACTGCATCGCCTCCGTGGACCTGCAGGTCCCTGCCAAGGCAGAGGTGCTGCGGTTCCTGGACGGCGGGGGGGCTCGTCCCGCCCGAGAGGCCCTGGCTGTGCTGTACTTCGGGAACCAGCCAGACCCCAACGTCACCGAGTACGTGGTGGGTCCCCTGCCAGCGCCGGCGTACCACCGGGACGTGACGGTGCGGAAATACGGGGGGAAGGTGCCGTACCACCGCAGACCTGTTACTGGCAAGGAGTACGTGGATATCAACGCGCTCATCCAGAGGGAGCTGAAAAAGGCGCCGCGATTCCTCGCCGCGTGCTGCGAGTCCGACGGGACCGACCTGGCCGTCCTCACCACAGCCCCGCGGGGCTTCAAGTCTGGCGACCGCACAACCTGGTTTGTCCTTTTCCACAACGTGGCTGGCACCGGCTACTACCTGTCACCAGTGGGGCTGGAGGTGCTGGTGGAGCACGGGGACCTCCACATCTCCCGCTGGCAGCTGCGCAAAGTCTTCTACAACGGCCGGTACTTTGCCAGCACAGAGGATCTGGAGCGGGAGTTTCTGGCCCGCACGCTGGAGGTCGTCAGGCTCAAGAAGCCCCAGGCTGATGCAGTGCTGGGCTCAATGAGGCCCCGCCATCTGCCTGACTCGCTGGGTCCGCTGCAGTTTGAGCCCCAAGGTCCCCGCTACAATGTCAGGGACAATCACATCACCTACCAGGGCTGGAGCATCACCTTTGGCATGAACCCCAACTCCGGCCCACGTCTCTTTGACATCAGGTACCGGGGGGAGAGGATTGTCTATGAGCTGAGTCTCCAGGAAGCCTTAGCCCTGTACGGCTCCAACTGCCCTGGGGGAATGTCCACCCGCTACCTGGATGGGAGCTTTGGCATTGGCAGGTTTGCCTACGAGCTGGTCCAGGGCCTCGACTGCCCCTACATGGCGACCTATGTGGACCGGCACTACCTGGCAGAGTCAGATACTCCCAAAACCAACCAGAAGTCACTCTGCATTTTTGAGCACGACTCTGCCCTCCCCCTGCGCCGCCACTTCTCTGACTCACAGTCCTTTTACTACGGTGGGCTGCGGAAAAACACGCTGGTCATCAGAACCATCTCCACGCTCATTAACTACGACTACATCTGGGACTTCATGTTCCACGGCAGTGGGGCCGTGGAGGTCCGTGTGCATGCTACTGGCTACATCAGCACCTCCTTCCTCCACGGCCAAGGCACTGACTATGGCAACAGGGTTGGACCCCACACCCTGGGAACGATGCACCTCCACCACATGCACTACAAGGTGGACCTCGATGTCGACGGTAGGTCTGGCCACCTTTGCTCGTGGCTGCAGTTCACAGCAGCTCTGCCTGGGGTGTGGAGGTCAAGAGTGTTTTCCCTTCTGCTTCGCAGGTCAGATGAACTTCCTGGAGACTCAGGACATGGA